TTTGACGGGGGCAAGACCGAAGCAGTTGTCATGTACCGAGGACCGGGAGCAGCGGCCCACCGAACCCAGATGTTCGACAAGGAGACCAAACCATGTATCATCGTTGGTACTCCTTCCCACATTCTGACGCTGCGAGTGGTGGCTAGCTACAGACACTTGGGATCGAAGTTCACCATGGATGCTGACATCGAGCATGAGGTCACTACGCGCATTGCCACCGCAAGACAGGCCTTTGCGGAGATGAAACAACCAACCTTCCTGAACAGAAGCATCCCAGTTCAAGGAAGACTGCAACTCTACAATAGCCTGGTGATCTCCCGACTCCTATATGGCTGCGCAATATGGTCCGACATACCCAATGCGCTGATGACGAAGTTAGACGCATTCTTGGTTGACCACCAAAGACGCATTGCAAATATTGGCTTTTGGAATGGTGCAACTATGAATGATGAGGATTTTCGGCATCACATGGAGCTTGAGCCTTTCCGCATCACTTGGGCCAGGCACCGTCTCCTATATCTCCGCCACATTGCAGTGCACGGGTCTGACTTCCATCGCCAAGGCTTGCTCATGGAATTTACCTACCAGAAAGGATGGTTACGTGAAGTCGTTGATGACTTGGTATGGTTGCGCAGCCTGATTGACTTACCTTTTGATTTTGATGAGAATGACATCCAATGGATCCCATTGTGGGAGGCCATTGCAGCATGTCCCAGATGGAAATCAATTCTCAAGCGAGCTTGCCGCAAACATGTTCTCCAAGAACGAATTGCAAGAGATGTGAAGCACTACCACAACCTCATTGAAGAGGAGTTGACATCCCACGGTTATGAGATCTGGCATGGCGAGCAGCACCAGCCAGCTCCTGACCTACCGAACTTTGGCTGTGGTGCATGTGAGCGATCCTTTTTGACACTGCGCAGGCACTTGCAGCACATGAATATCGGGTTCATGGCTTTGCTGCCTTGGAATGCCACTACATCCAGTCCACGATTTGCCCTGGATGTCTGAAGGATTTCCACACTACGTGGAGAGCGCAACAACATCTCAAATTTAGGCCCAATCTTTGCTGGGATCGCATTCATGGAGCTCGAGCTCCTGGTGAATTGACTACCATTGTACTCCTTGCTCATTTGAAGCATGTCAAGAGCCTCCCAGCTACTCGCAAACATCATGGTCCTCTACGACCCACCAGCTCCCAACGTCATCGAACCCAACTACGCGAGAGAATCGCTGCACTTAGGGCCAAGGGTAAAGCTGACTACGCATGGTGGTGTCCCGAGAGCAATCCAGAATTGGCTGCACGTGTATGCGATGCATTTGATGAAGCCCTCCATGCATGGTGCGCTAAAGGAGAACCGGACGAAATTGATTTGCAATCTTTAACCTTGAAGTCCCAGAATTGCTAGGGAGTCGTTTGTTTGTTCATTGGATTGAAACCAGATTTCATGAGGCTTGGCCCGTTGATCTTGACCCGGACCTGGCGACTTGTCTTGAAGCTGCCCACATGGACATGCTTGACGACATTCCTGCCTGGCAACTGCGACTCCAGATGAAGCACCTTGTCAATCTATGGATGCATCAGCCAACGGAAAACGACATGGACAAGCCATGCCAACCACCTACAGTTGCCCGTGATCCCCACACCAGAATGCGGCTACATCCCATTGAAATGCAATTCCAAGCACTTGGAGCAGAAGAGCAGCAACGGAACACCTGGAGATTCACTGCAAGCCCAAGACAAGGGGTCCCCTCGGCAAAGGGGCCATACTATGTGGTACACCTTTACTCAGGGCGATGGACAGGGTTCTTCGTAGTCTACCAGCTGTTCAGGTGCGAGTCTTATCAATCGACACTGCAGTTGATCCAACGCTCAACGTACGTGATCACCGCTTATGGCACTTCCTCATGAGCATTGCCCATGAAGGTCGCCTGCTGGGCCTGTTACAGGGACCTCCATGTGAGACATGGACAGCAGCGCGCCATGACGAGCAACGTGATCCTGATGGTACGCTGATCCGAGGTCCAAGACCGCTCCGGGCTGCCGACAATCTATGGGGGTTGAGTCATTTGACATGTGGGGAACTTGCCCAAATTTTCACTGGAAATAGCCTTCTTCTCAAAGGGATGCTTCTCGCAGTCGTGACAGTGCGTGGAGGAGCAACCTTCCTTGAACCTTCAGCTGTTCCATTTGAGGAGAGTTACCCCAGTATTTGGCGCACTGGTCTCTTGAAGCTTCTTCAACGTGCTCCGGCAGGTCCATTCAGAAGGATTACAATTGAGCAATGGAGGTATGGCGCTGAGAGCGTCAAACCAACAACACTCTTGTATTCCAACTCACGACTGCCGCATGCACTTGAATCCTGCAAGCTTGATGGAGCGGTTCGACCACAAAGACACCTGATTGGGAAAGCCTTGACGGGTCTTACCGCACAGCAGCTGCGAAAGAATATCCAGCTGCTTTGAATGAAGCTTTTGCACATGTCCTCAAAGGAGTTCCCCTCTCACACGCAAACCCATTTTGTGAGAGTGATGAACCCTTTGGGATTGAATTGGCCAATATTGCCTCCAGTACGAAGTACGGTTGCATTAAGCCGGATTATCAGCCCACATACGGCTGATAACCAACATGCATGGCAGGCACGAGATCCTCTCATAAGCCGACAGAAAAAATATTTATGTATGTACATGTATATATATATATGTATATACATATATATTTACAATATATATATATATATATATTATGTATACATGTATATATCATACAGCGTGAACATCCGGGTGAACGGGGAGATTGATTCTTGTTTCGTTCCATACATATGAACAACGTTTCTCCTTGAACTTGTGCGGAGTGTTTCAAGAAAATGTTCATTCTATCTCTACTTTGGACTCAAAATTTCAAACAGTCAGTGGAAACGATTCTGATTTTATTTTGAAAGTAGAACAGAAAGCACTGAGAGTTCCATGATGGGGGCGCTTCCACCACGACTTGGGCTCAGGAGAGGTACCCCCAGACCCCATGGATAAAGGATTTTGATGATCCATGGGTTGCGAAACATTTTTTTTTTGTGGCCTGGGTTGGCCTGGGTTGAACCAAACACTTGTTGAGCTCGTGAGATGTTGTAGCGAGGCCTTCAACCTCTACTTCCGATCCACCAAAAACATGGGCAGCTTGGCTGCGGAGCCGGGTGAAATGCTGGAGTCACATATTTGAAGGATGGGGAATCTCACAAAGATCACAAAGAATGTCCCAAATGGGGGTTTCTTAGTCAATAATGGATGTATCAATGGGATATTTTTAGCGGATGTGTAGTAGTCCAAAAATACTGAATCCTAAATCCCTGGCCGCGGCCAAAATGGCAGCAACTACCTCAATCTGTGGCTATCTTAATGGGAAAACACGAGAACACACCAGTTGATTTTGAGGATTTTGATGGGGAAACCTGAAGAGGGATACCACAATTTTGGCAGAAACCCGTTTATCCCTGGCCAAACACGACAACATTGTCGTTACAGAAAAGGTCACGAGGTTTCAGAATTTGAAACTCCGATGAGCTTGGGTTGAACCACCAGTTTTGAGCATAGAGCTTTCATCTCAGGATTTGTTTTGTCTTAAACGGGGTACCCTCTGGTAAACGTTTACATAACTATGGAAAGATCCACCATTTTATAGCTGGGAAAATCCACTATTTCTATGGTCATTTTCAATAGCTATTTTGACATAACCAGAGGGTATCATCTATGATAAGGTCTTTGAAAATCTCGTGCGCTTAACCCTGATGGATCCAAATGGATGATGTCCCTTTCCAACTGATGAATGGAGCCTTTACGACACCAATAGGATCCAATAGGTAAATGCTATACCAAATGGATCCAAATGGCTTAGCAAACCAGACCATCAGTTTTCCCCAGATTTCAAAAAAACAGTTTTGATCCTCACATTCTTGTTGGTGAAACCCCCGAATTTTCATGGTGAAACCGTGCTTAAAACCCCATGGTTTTCCCCATGTTTTCCAGTGAAAAATCGCCTTTGCGAGGCGATGCCATCGACTACTCCCAGAGGAAGCGGGAAAACCTTGGAGAGCTCATCTCAGAAGCTTAGCACATCGTGGCACCGGCTGGGATGGCAGGGATGAGTTTTCCCAGGGGGTAAAACTGGCGATAAAAGTCGGAACGTTTGGAAAGTTGGATGTTGGAAATGATCAAGTTGATATATGATGATTTTTTCGGTATTCATTTGATATCCAATTCATTCTAATTCCAATAGAACTTCATCTGATTTTTTTCCATGCGATGGGCTCTTTCTTGGACACGCGCCCAGAGCCTTCATGGGTTCATTTAGGGGTCCCCATGGAAGGTCCTGGAAGCGCCTGCGATAGTATCCACTGAAACAGAGCTGGATTTTGGCATGATTTTAAGCGCAACCCCCTCACTGGGTCGTAATTCAGACCTGGAAAACTAACATGACTATGGGAAATCACCATTTTTAATGGGTAAATCAACAAACTCAATGGCCATTTTCTATGTCGCAAACTGTAAACGTTTACCACAGGGTAGATCTGGAATATCAGATGTTACTCCTAGACCTGCAGGGTCCCCAGAATTGATGGGCAAAAACAGCCCATGATTTCCAGGGGTTGGTAACTGTCCCATTTTGGGAATATTGGACATCACCTTATAGTAGCCATTACAGACCATATACCTAATGGTTGGGTGATGTTCAATGGGGACATTTAATGACCCATGAATTTCCTCTAGATTTTCACGTCAACCAATCTAGTGCAATGGGGCTCAGAAATATCTCGAAATGGATGCTTTAGATGCTTTAGTGCTAAAGATGACCAATACTCTCCGGCAAATCAACATAGACATGGACAATCCACCAGTAGATCTCAATTTATTGAGGGGTATATCGGGTATATCCCATTGTATCCCCATGATATGCCCACGAATTGCTTGGTTTCATCATTCATGTTGTTGTTTTTTTCTCGCAAGCCATGGCCTTACGGATAGAACTTCTGTTTGAGGAAACCTTGGAGCTCCTGGAACGAACTGGCGGGGAGGATGCCTTCATCAACATCAAGTGGCCTAGCCATGGAGGTTGATAGATATATAATGATATATAGCATTATATAGCTGGGAAACGGCTGGAAAAATCATGTTGAACCAACTGGGGGGATTTTTTTAAAGCAATGTTTGATGAAGGGAGATGGAAAACTAGAGTGCAAGTACTGGAATCGTGACTGTATGAGGAGTATGTCATCCAACAAACAGTGAACGGCAAGCTGCACAGTGATTCCCTTATCACATCAACGCAGTTGGCATGGCACATCAGCCAATCTCTCCAGAAGCCAGGTACATGATCCCTGCATATGAGTCTTGTATGCTGAATGGGCACTGATCGGTCCAGTTCTTGGGGCGCTTTACTACGCCCGTAGTTTGTTGGAACCAGGGTCATGGCAGCTTCTGTAGCTGGAGGCTGCTTCTCAAAGATGGCAGTGGACTCAGTGGACACTTCCTCATTCTAATTGCAATCCATTTGTTTCTCGTTGAAGTTGTTATTTCCAAGCCAGCCATGATTCTCGCGGTGCAGAATAGATCATTTCAATCTGATTCCTGCCAACAAGCTGAAGGTAGTCCTTACTGTACCTTGCTGTGATTTGCTGTGTGAAATTGCAAACCAGAGGTGTGGTGATCGTCTCAAAATTTTTCTTGACTATGGCTTGTGAACTTACCCCCGAATTTAAAAGGAGAGATCCTCCCCAAGAAAAACCCAAGCTTATCCAAGAAACACATTCTAAAGAACGTCCCGACTAAGTTTAAAATAAACCGCCGGAAAAGTGGCTTGTGGGCTGGGTTGATTTTGGAGTCGCCATGGCTAGTCGCAATGACATCAGATGAAGATAGATCAAGAGACATGATTGGGGATCAACGCAACTGCCACTTCCTTGCAGATGGTTGTCCTAGTTGCTCCGATGGTAACAAGAGATGAATAGACATCACCGTGGTTAACGGAACTTTTTCAGAACCATTGTGGAGAATCTGAACAAAGGGACCATTTCTAGTTGCCCACATTTTTCAGCAATTGAGTAGCTGCTGGTTGGTTCTACCGGGAACGATCCTAGAAGATGAAATTCGAGCCGTGGACAGAATTGACCGTCCCTTGTTCAAGGAAAACCATTTAAATGCTAAAATCCGTGGACAATCCATCATCTCTACCCTAAATTTAAGAGCCCAGAATGGCATTGTGGCCCATATCCAAGTCCGGAAAATCATCTTACCAAACGATTTGGGATTCCGTCTTCAAGTTGGGGAGTGCGTATCTACCTTTGCATGATTATGATTCTGATGAGTAATGATTCGTAGCTTACATGGCCGTGGGTCTGCTTTGCATGATGGAGCCGCGACACAAGATGACACGAGACATCATCCTGGGCAGGGGTAGCACCTGATGGAGTTACTATTCTTGACGGGAAAAACCGATGGCTTTTCACTCTTCACCACGAAAAAATGTGGGGTAAACATGGTTAAACCATGAACAAGGGTGGTTTTAGGTGGGTCTTTATTTAGTACCAACAAGGAGGATTTCAACCATCCACCCGGCGGATAGGTAAGTTGGTTGAAACAACTAGGCGAATGGTTGCATTACGTTGGATTCATGGTGGATATATCATGATATATCTACAGTTGCGATGAGTTTATAAACCAATTCATAGCCACCATAGCCGCTCGCAACCCTTCTCGCATGGGTTTTGACTTTTCAACATGCAAAGATGCCCGAATTACGATCAATAAAGATTCTAGCACATGTCAGGAACTGTTTTTTGTTTTTTCCAACCATCCCCCAAGGCAGGATATTTACCCTCTGGATCCCTCTGGAGGAAATCACATCTTTTCATAGGAAAACCACTCCATAAATGGATATGTCTAATGATGAAAAACACCCCAACTCGCCAGCCAGCGTTGAAAACTTCCAACCCCTGACTGGCCCCGACAAAGTCCTTGCCTGGTGCCGTGTCAGTCTCGCGCATCCAACCGCGATCGGACGTCAGCGCGAATCGCCGCGCTTCGAAGAAGCGCCGCAGACGTCAGACACGTCTCGAGGTTTCACTCGAAATGGGAGGAGGGCCTTGCTAGCAATCTGTCGGTTCCAAGAATCCAAGTACAAATGGCTTGCAAATGGCATGGCATGGAGCTGATGATACTTCTGGACAAGCCCAACGTGAACAAAGATGGTCCCCAAAACCACCCTAGAAGGCCCACCTTTTTCAGGGCTCACAGAATTTCTGCCGGCAGGGCCCTTTTTGCACACTGGTAGGCAGGCCCTTTTTGCAAAACCCGTCTCCCCCGCAGCTTGCGCGGAGAAAAGTCGTGATATCCCATCCCATCCCTCTATAATTTTTTGAAATTTCACCATAGAGGTCGCAGAAATGAACAGATCCAGTACTAAACAAGGGTTTCTGGGTGCTTTTGAAAGAATTGATTAGGGGGAAGGGATTGCATTTGGGCAGATACATGTTCTATTTTTTATGTTGGTATGATCCACATTGACTTCCATCTTGGGGTGGGTTGAAACCACCAGTGCAGTGATTTGTTGCCGTGGCGCATCGCTTCCCAGTACCAGGGCTTGCCAGCACTGGATTATAGGCCAGGAACGGGTAAACTCCATTTATCCCACTAAAGAGGAAAATGTTCGCCTGGGATAGTCAAAGCACCTTCCGAGCAGAAACTTTGTTCGAAAACATCTTCCGAGATCAACTTCTGCCGTGGCAGACTCGAAAGAGAGGGCCCATGATGTTGTTGGTTTGGTTCAAGATGGGCCTCAAGGGATAGGCGATAATGAAAGTGCCAATGATGCAAGAGGAAGGACATTTTCAGCTCTTCATTTTTGAATGTCGTGACAAAAAAAATGGCAACTACATGGGTACTTCCCAAGAAGATCCAAAAAACCGTTTACCCAACAGGTTTGTTAGCAAAAACGGTCACAATTTGTTTTGAAGCCTCTCAAGTCCACATTTTTGGAACAACAACCATCGCGCAACGCGGGGTCGCCACCATCTGTGTGCTGTAGGGGATCCTGGATTTGAGCGGCCGCACGTTCTTTCTGGCTGATCTGCTTGAGTTTTCTGGTATCATGTTTTGGGGTCCCCCAAGGAAGGGAGCTAAAGTGCAGCTAAAGAACAAACATCCAGCTGCAAGCAGCTAGACCTATATTAGACCTATATACGGATCAAAACTGTAAGCGGAAGTCTTGGCATCGGAACTTGTAGATGGGAGGTAAAAGCTTACTTTGGACATATAGGCCATATAGGTAGATTAGTAGCCACCTAGAACGAAAGATCAGTGCCATTTGACGCTTCCGATCTGATATTTATCGGCTCTCTGGAGCGATTTTTTCCACCAAAATTGGTGGTCAAAATAGTGGTTCCCCCAAAGCAGCTGATGTCCAGAAAGGGAAATTGGTGTTTTTTGTAGACTGAGCCAAGATCTAACTGACAAATTGTGTATCTTTCCTGTGACCAAGTGTATCTTCCCAAATAATCCAAATATAATCCCCATTGGGAATCACTTCATTTCCCAATGGGACAAACATATACAAAAATATGTAATTTCTTTGGGGTTCCTTCAGCAAATCTCCAGAGTCTCACTATCCTCTCACGGTCTCTGCAGGTGCTTCAGGTGCTTGCACCGAAACGATGGACAGAGGCCAGATTTTATGGGGATGATCCCTTCTAGCCGCCTCGACATTAGTATATATAGTTTATTATTATTATTATTATTATTATTTATTTTTTTAAACCTCTTATATACATACATACTACTGTATATATATATATATGGGGGTCGTTCAAAAACCCCGCCGCCTTACTGTAATATATATAATTCATATATATATATATTTCATGGGTATATATATATATATACATATTATACACATGGATATCTATGGATCAGTACCTCAAATTCAGCTGTTGCCGTCGAGGCGGCCAGTCCCGAGAGCAGCAGGAGGCGCCGATAGGGGGTTTATACACCCCTATGAAGCATAGAACTATGATATAATCTACCATTAACCCTAAGATATATAATCTGATATATAATATACATATATAATATATATACATATATAATATATATACATATATAATATATATACATATATAATATATATACATATATAATATATATACATATATAATATATATACATATAATATATATATATATACACATGTATTATATATGATTAATATAGGTGATACCAGTAGTATTTATTTCTTATACATCCCACCCATAGGTGAATTCTAGCCCCACACGGGAGGAACATTGGTAATTTGGAAGCTCTTTATCTAGCCATTTTAATCCCAAAACGCAAAGAGAGGGGGGGCCAGAGAGCCATGGAACTCCCCAGTTTCGCCGCTGCAACTCCCACCGCAACTTGAAATCCCCATCTCGTTTGGTCAAAATGTTGATAATTGATAGATGCTTTGTTAGTCCTGATGTTCGTAGATACCATCCGGCTGTCTCAAACATGGGAAAGGAACATCTACCATTTATAGATTTATAGATGAGGTTCCCATTAAAACCTCCATGCATACATAATCCTTTATATCTATTTGTAGGGAATTACTCTTCTCTGTTTACACTGTATATGTTTTTCTCATTTCAATGGCCATTGAGTTCAGGGATTTCGCAACAAGTGTGAGGACGCTGGAGTGTAGAATTGGAATCCCCATCTACATCATCCCATGAAATGCCATTACTGGTTGGTGGTTTAGAACATGTTTTATTTTTCCATAATATTGGTGAATGTCATCATCCCAACTGACTTTCACTCCATCATTTTTCAGAGGGGTGGGGAAAAACCACCAGCCATGAAGTCCCCATGAAATCCCAAGTATCTGGGTAAATTATAACGACCTCACTGCGACCTCACTGGAATCATGGTTAGTAAGGGAAATCATCCCCTTTTATGGGCCTTAATTCAGGTTAGTGAAATATTATAGTTTACCCAGAAGTATGAAATCCCATTCAATCCCTGTCTCGATGATTTTCATCTTCCCAAAGCCATCCAATGTCGTGAGGCCATGGCCATGGCGCAGTTCCAGCAGCTCTTGGAATCGCAGAAGATGGTGGCAAAGCTGGGGGCCCAGCGGTGCATGGGCGCCCTGGGCGCCCTAGCGATGGTTTTTTGGGTGTGGGGCTACAACTTGGTTGGAAGAGGATGATGGGGATACAAGGGGGAGATATCTATTTTTCACATGGGGTCATGCTAGTGGTTTCACCATAAATATGGCTCCTGCACCTGGAATTGGAGGATTTACGACCCAATGGCAGTGTCTGGGAACACGCCCCCAAAATATGGCTTTACCTCCTACCTCTAAAGCTTGAACCCCACCAATAATAGTACATCTAATTGATTAGTACCTCTAATATTCCTCTAATAACCATACATCAATAACATATGTCAATATGTCAATAATCTATAATAATCTAATATTCCTCTAATATATATATAATAACAATAACAATAACAATAATAATAACAACAATAACAATAACAATCATATAATCAATAATATCCTTACATCCACATATGGTTCAAAGGCTTCATCGTCCCTTCATCCGCGAGGCTCACGGGGAAGTGCTTCAGCCTCTGTGTGTCCAATGCGGGAACCTCGCTGGCCACGTCACAACAGGCCGACCTTTTTGGAATCCATCAAGATGGGGATGCTACCCCCCAAGACCCAGCTTTTCAGATGCAAAAAAAACCTACACCTCACATAGATTATACATATATGTATATACACCAATATGCATATGTGTAATTGTGTGTAATTATATATATATATATTATTTATCGAAATCCGCACGATTTTTCCTTCCTGTTGGCACGTGAAAAGGCTAAACAAGACTAACAAGACTAAACAAGATCAACCAATCAAATAAGGAAACAATGTAAAGGACTAAGCAAGACTGACTAAACAAGACTAAACATGGTTAAAACCAATCAAATAAGGAAACAATACTAAAAAAGATCAACCCAAAAGAAAATGCCGGAGCCCGAGGTCCAACAATTGCCAGGTGGAGGGTGCCTGACGTTATATTCTTTTTGTACCTGTCCATTGTATTTTGCTTGGGTTTTCCTATCTTACCTTATGCCCTCTTATTTTATTGGCATTTTGTCCTAAGGCCCCTGCATTTTATTTTATTTTTTTAGGGGTCTCACCCCCCCCCTGGCACCAGACGGGGGTTATATATATATATATACATAGATATATTCTGTTGCTTGTCACAGATGAGAGAGAAGAGAGGAGGGAGCACCCCCAAGAGAGCAAATAGTCTCTTCGTGTGCTTAAAATACACTCAGGTTCGGCAACAGATATTTGTGTGTTTGCACCTTGCTGTCTCTTAGTCTCTCGAAAGACATTGAGTGGGAGGAAAAAAAGAGATTGTAGAATTGCACCTTGCTTTCTCCTACTCTTTTGAAAGACATTGGGTGGGATAGCAAACAGGAAAGCACATAGTTTCCTTGTCTACTTTTTCCACGTTAAGCAGAAGCATTTGCATTGTTAAAACAACCATTTTTGCATTCATGCAAAAGACCAATTTGTTTTTCAGATTTTTGTTTTTCGAATTAGTGACTGTGCTTGCAAGGAAATGCCAGTGCTTGCAGACAGATGCACTTGCATTGTCAAAAAAACATGTATTCACACAAAACATACCTTTAGTACACTTTCACTATCCCGCGTATTTTCCATTTAATATACACTTTTTTTTCTTCCCCATTTTATACACTTTTTATATACCTTCAATACACCTTTTTTTATAATCTCACTTTAGTTTACCGTTTCAAATAGCATGAATGCACCTTTAATATATATATATACCTTGAACATACCTTGAATATACCTTCAATATACCTTTAATATACCTTCAATATACCTTTAATATACCTTTACTATATCTTTGATATATCATTCAAAATCTTTGGTTTACCATTTTAAGTACAAGTAATATACATTTGAAATACAATTTAACATATTGTACATATATATATATCTTTACTATTAATATCCATTTAGTACACCATGTAGCATACCATGAACGTAGCGTTTGATATACCTGAACAAGGTTGATCACAACCAAACCAAAGCATCGCGCCTAGTCGTCAAAATGCACACTATTGCAGCACAGGGTCCCCAAAAGTTTTCTTTGCAGAATGTTATAGGATGTTCACACATAGTTTCGAGGTTTCAATTTTCTATCTGGGTTTGTCCAAAAACAGGGGATTTACCACCAACTGTCGTCATTTTCATGATGAAATGATGTTTAAAAAATCTAAGCCATAACATTTTGGTGTGACAAAATCAGGTCAGGCGTCCTTTTCTCTACTATTTGGGTTGATGAATCGAAGGGTAAACAATCAACTTTAAACCACGACTAGGTAACCATAGGCTATTTGGGAGCTGCCAAAAACACTTGATGGAGGCGAGTCATCCAATGTCCATTGTCCAATTGAGCTGTTTATTGGTGGAAAAAAGGGGTTATACCCTCCCACAAACTAACATAGATGTTGAGATCCCACCATTTGCAGATCATTTTTCTACGGAAACCATGATCTTTTCACATCTATGTTACTTTACCCCATGCTATTGGCTTTTCTTAAAAAAAACACTGCCATTGTATATAATTGGGATGCCCAGCCAGAACGAGTAGACGGATCCAGCCGGTTGATTCTGTGCTTTTTTAACCATGTCGGTGTCTACGATCCCCAAGTCATCACCATACATGGGTGGTATGTTTACCATTGGCATGGGTGGTTTATTTCGTATATTGTTTTACCCACATGAGTGGAATATGCAACAATAAGCCAGCTATATTATATTTATTTATTTGATGGTTTATGCAGTTTATGCCAGCTATGGTAACATTGGGATGGTTGCGAAATCACCATCGACATATGGGTGGTTCACTATTGCTCTACCAACATCTACGATGGATACCATTCATTTGGACCAGTTGATAGTTGCGGGAATACCTTTTACCGAACAATCCATGAGCATTTTCAGGAACCCCTTCAGTACTGCATAGGGCAACCCAAACTTTTATGGTTGATCATAATTTTCACCATGAACATTGATATATATATATATATATATACGTACATGTTATATATTGGGTGTAAATCCAGATTATCTTTGGACCAATCCTACATTATATTCTTGATGATATCAAATTGTATCCCGCTATATCCTCATTCTATCCCCATGACATGCTGTCTTTTATACCCATATCACCCCATGTGCACATCATACCAAGTCCAGATGAACTTTATGAACTCAGTTCTCAAATCTCCAAAATGTGTTGGTTTATATTCCTTTTTTTTCTGACGGACCCATTTGCTGCTGCGCGGTGCCATACCCTTACCGTTGATTATATATTATTTTATATCATACTATATCCCTACTATATATATATATACATGCATATATATATATACATGTAACTGTATTTCATATTTTCGGTTACCATCCCAATGCTTCCATTTATTTGGGATTTATGCAAGTTTATACTATACCTCACATTTTTTTGGGAGGCAACCTCACATGCCAATCGAACTTGCTGGCAGGTGTGCCTCTGGCGCTGCGCCCAGCGATACATGGAGCCACTGATGAGACAATCAGCGCTTGATGGGGGCATGATTTCGTCTTTTTGTCCTCAATGGTTCATGAGGAGATGCTAAATCACCAGAAGAAATGGTGGATTTATCATGATTTATCATCAAAGATGGATTTTTTAAGCATGGAAAATAGGATATACTGAAGGATGTAAGGGGGATATCGTGGGGAAAAATGAGGAGATAGTGAGAATATAACCACCAAAATCCAACTGGTCTGTCTTCACAAGGGGAATATCCACCAAACATGGCTATCTTAATGGGGAACTGATTCACCAGGGGATTTGGGGGATTTGGATGGAAAAGGGTGATACTGATACTGTAAACCCAGGAATCTTAAGGCTTCCAAATTCTGAGACAACTCCACATGAGCTTTATAAATCTTTACACATATTATAAGTCTAGTGCCGTTTTGCCGCGATTTGTTTGGCACGAAACTCGGAGAGATCACCACTTCGTCGTTCCGTGCGCAAAACAGGAGACTCAGCACTTCGTGCAGAAGTACAGCGAGGACTCGTTGCTTCTGAGGGGTCAGCTCCACAGAGCTTCGAAACTTTTAGGATGCAAGTCTCTCGGTTGCTACAATCAATCATCGCAGACTGGGAAGTGCCATGAAATAGTCTGGGAAAATCATCCAACTGGAGGATTGATTGTCCAGCTATGATTTCCAGAGGGTTTTAATGATTAGAAATCCCATTGTTTTTTTGGTGAAATCCCTGTCTAAAAATCCCGAGATCTCATTAAATCCCCATGAAATTCCCATTCAGATCGACCATTGGCCGCGGCTCCGCCACGGATCATGTCATGTGGCTCCGCCAGGACAAGGTCAAGTCCGGGACCTGGGACCTGATCGCGGCCGGCCAGCCGTGACGCGGAGCCGGGAGCTGCGAGCGGTGGAAATAGGGGTGAACTTGAGGATCACCAGAAAATGCATGAAAATATGCTGGATTTTGATATGTTTTGATCATCAAGAATTGAGGGTAGTGCGAAAAAATCTAGGGGTCAGAATAGTCAAGGTGAAGTACTGATAAAAATTGGGATGTTTTCCACTCCAAAACTAACGCAAATAGCTTCGAGTTTGGTGTTTTGTAATTCTAACACGTGTGCAGTTTGACCATTTTCCCAAGGGCAAAGATCTTAACATTTGACATTCAGCTACTCACATAGGGATGAGAACCAAGCCATAGCCAGTTCACAATGTTCCGCACAACACTAGTCATGATGTGATCCCGGCACAAGAAAGAGTTACCAAGCATGATGTGGTAACTAAACCCAATGCCATAAACAATCCCCAGTAAGGGTCCATTATTCGGTATACCTCTGGTACTGGGATGGTGTTTCTAATAACCCCCATGATTGGTGACTGGGATGGTGCAGATGGCAGCCAGGGTTTACCACATGCCACATTCATGGGTACCCTCTGGTAAACATACAAAAAGCTATTGAACATGGCCATTTATAGTGAGTTTTCCCATTAAAAATGGTGGATCTTCCCATAGTTATGTATGTTATGTGGCTGTTTACCAGAGGGTATAAGGTCATCTCATCTATAACAAGGAAGCACTTGCCTAAGATCTTTGGTGCTTCTCCAGCTGACTGCGGACGGGTGCGAGAAACCCATCCAGTTGTGCCTCCAGATTTTTGGAATCACATACTGTACCGGACCTTAAGAATTGGGCTTGGCTCAAAATTAAAGACCTTGGGGGACCAGAGATTTTGGATGATTTTGGTCTATTTTTAGTATCAAGCATTAAAAATTGTTGATTGGGCTGGGCTACCCAATTTTGACCCATACCCAGTTGATGCAATCACTGTACTGTTAGCATGTATCTCATTTCTGAAACGGATGGACTTCGACTGCCGTGAACACTTGGCTTGGCTCAAGCACGATCCGCGTCATAGTGCCATGGAGGTGATTGGTCTGTCAAATGAGCAGCGGCCAAAACTGAGGATTGTTGTTTCATTTACTATCCTAAGCATCATTAGTATACAATCAGTGGTTCTTTTTTAGAACTTAAGCCACTGCTCAGAATATATTCATGTTGCATCCCAATCGTTTACCCATGTTTTTTTTCCAGCTGAGATCTCCTGAGATCTCAAACCAAGGAAAGTCATAACTCAGTGACAGACATAATGTGGCTACATGTGACCCCCCAAACATAACCAGAGGTTAACTTTCTTGGAACCTTACACTATTTGAACAATCTTGCTATGGATGATCACACCTATGAGTTGCCTCAATGAATGGAGAGGCAGCATTGGCGCGGCTGTGGCCCAGTTTTGGCTGGTCAATCCCTGCAGGGTCCCCCCAGTTCCAAGTTGGTTAAGAACCCCACCTAACGACAGTATAGATATACCTACCATAACCGCAACCCTAGTCAACCCACTTGTAAACCAACTTAGCTAAGTAGGGGGTTCCTTCCTGTATGATTCGAGATTCATGTACTTAGCCAAATGCAGGACTCATTTGAGCCCCAACATTTCAACTTCAGTCATGGTGCATTCTGGTCACTTCGTGACGACAACCGCTCCCACTGGAGTGTTAGCTCCGGAGTTCCAGCAAATAAAACTATATGTTCTATGTTGGGCCTTTGTAAGGCGCATGAGCGCATGTTGGGAATATGTTGGGCCCATGTTGAGCCATCGTGCGCCCATGTTGGGCTCATGTTGGCAACCTAGCCGATCGAAAAACACAGGATTCTAGAGCAAAAATAGCCCCCCCAAGCAAAAGCTTAATAGCTATTGCAATTCCTTCCGGTCAATGTGTGCACACAAAAACAGCCTTGGCACCTTCGGTGCGGGCGAATTTCAGGAAATTTCATTCTCAGATATCGTCCCATATCTTGGAAGAGGGTTTTAAAGCACGGTTTGGGAAGCCCCCGAAAGAATGACGTGGAAATGCCTCCAGGACTAGCCCCTGATAAACAAACATGGCACCAAGAAATGTCCCCATCTAGAAAACTGGCCAGTGTCATATAGCCACTAATATAGCCACTATCAATGGGTATACTGGTATACTTATAGGAATCGATAGCCAGAGATTACTGTACCTTTTTCTAATCAAGGTTTCGACAGATTTCGCAGCCATGTGTGCATTGCCCAAGACCATAGGTCTCCCCGATAATATATATATAGAGGCGTAGTATTGTATCGTGGGAAATGGGAAATCATGCCAATTTTTGGCGGCGCCGTCATCTTAACCCATCTCCTAGTATCCAACTGTTGGATATCCACGGGAAATAAATAGTAGAGTATTAAATAGTACTTTGCCCATATATATCCAGATATGTATGATAGATTATGACTTGTCACTGCAACGTCACTAGAAGTATTGTACTTATCAACTGTAACTATCCCCAAATGGCTTTATTTCAGGTGGTCGGCCAGTATCCACCAATTGAAGAGTTCTGCCAGAAAATCGGGTTAGTAAATTGTGACATACTATTATACACATGTATATATATAATATTTAAGTTCAATTAAATCACATTGAACATGTTCCCTAGTTGAATCACCAGTTTCTCCACTTATATAAGTCACCATTTTTCCCAGTTGATCGCTGGATCACAGACTTTGTTCCAGGCGCCGGCTTCGCGCCCCCGGCCCCGCGCACCCGCGGTGCGCCCCTCCAGCGTGCCTATCTCCTTCTGTTGGCCGCCCGCGCAGTGCAGCTCGGGGCAGGCTGTGGCCAAGCATAGAAATTTCAGGAGACACCAGGGTAAACTAACGTAGATGTGGAAAACCTACCATGAAAGTAGAGCATTTTCTGAAACTATGAGTGTTTCGTTTACCCTGGGGCAAGCATCACTTCAATGGGGATTGAGAAGATATTTTGCTGGTTTAACTCGTACACCTAGGGTTTATGGTGGAGATATTTGCAGATGGGTGAGAACAAACCAACAATTTATGGTAGGAATTGAACAGATTTAAATAGAAAACAAAGGGATGATGATCCCAGCCTGTTTCTCACAGGTACAAGCACTCTGCTTAACTCCTATCGACTCATTACGATTCATATCAAGAGGCCCATGACGAGAGTTTGTCAACAAGTTCTTCAACAAGTGCGTCAAAACGAATCACTTTCCCCTATTAAATATCCAAAAGAAGCCCTGGTTTATGGGATCGAGTCATTTTTTTGGGAGCATATGCTGGGTGTTTAATGTACCAGGGGATGGGAGTAATAACCTATAAAGCTATGTATATATGATATCAACTTATCCGGATATTGGATAGATGTTATCCCACTTCTCTCTCTATAGGCTTTCTCCCCAAAAGCGGCAGGTGAAGGATCTAGCACCTGGGCATCAAGCTTCGGCCAGAACGAAGGAAACGACCAGCGCGGCGTCAGGCGGGATACCTCCATTTTCTGTTTTTTATTCAACACATATTAGGTGGAAACGATTGTTTTAGTGATATATCCACTTTTCAGACATTTGTAGCTATAGGATATTATAGGATAATGTACTATGTTTAGTTGGTGGGTATATCTGATTTTCAGACATACCCATATAACCATACATAGTTCAGGTTGGGATGCTCAGGAGGCCTTGCAAGGTTTGGAGGCATTTGGATCAATCTTAGGACTCCGCTTGGCAGTTGGATCTGTTTGGACCCTCCAAAACCCGCGGTGGCCCTGCAGGCCCTGCAGGCCCTGCAGGCCCTGCAGGCCCTGCAGGTGGCAAAGCCAAAGAACGCGCTGAAACCGCTTGGCCGTAGCCTGGCAGAGGAATAACTGGGATATGCTGAGCTGATTTTGGACCAATGATGGGTAGTCAACGAGTGCCGTTGGGCAGGCTGCCAGGCCGTCAGGGCCAGCGAATCTTCCGAAAATATTTTCCCAACTTCATCCACCTTGGATGATGTGAACATATATGTATATATATATATGTATATATATATATATATGTATATATATATATGTATATATATGTATATATATATACATATATATATACATATATATACATATATATATATATACACATATACATATATATATACATATATATACATATATATATATACACATATATACACACACATATATATATACATATTTATATATAAATAATATACATGTAAATGGCTCGAGAATATTGAAGCTCGAAACTTTGGAGCTATGCGACATTTCCATCGATTTCCTGCGTAAGGTGGAGTAGCCGTGATTAGCCAACTCCATCCATCATCCACCTGCCACGCTGGACGACATACATAAGGTTATATTGATGAATAAAGGGATCAACTTATATCCCATTAAACTCTAATTCCTATGTCAATATATATATATATCCGTAGCCATAGGATCCATGGTGCTGGTATATATGCTAACATGAATGGGGTATATTGATGGTAAATGTTACCATATATAGCATACATGGATCCTATGGGGTATATAATTACTTCATTAAATTCTCTCGTGGATTGTTTGTTTCATGCAACTAGCTTTATTGGTTAAGTCACCGAGGCCCACCCGCAGGGACGCCAGCGACCGCAGCGCGCAGAGCGCCCAGCAGAGCGCGCAGCAGAGCGGGGGCATGAGCGAAGCGCAACGGCTGCTGAGTTGGAAGCCCTGCTTCGAGGAAAGACCTGGGTAAAACTGGGAAAGAGCTGCATGTTATGCGGATACTTATTAGCGACAGAATATTGCATATGTATATATATATATATACATATGGCATATAGATATAGATATAATTATATATATACATACATGTATATATCTATTCCATGATATTTTGGTGTGTCTGAAAATAGGATATAGCATGATATGCCAGCGATATATGCTATGTAAATATATGGGGACAATGAAATGAGTTGGACAATTGGATTCTGGGCCTGGCCTTTGGCCTA